TCCCTACCACTTACCAGAGGGTGGTTGCAGTAAGCCACCCGGCAAATCTCTCACCGTTACTTGCTGGTTGTTGCCTGAGCCTAGCCAAGGTGCTTGGCCCCGGGACAGGCTGCAAGCTGGATTGGGAGAACGGCCTTTCCCTGCACAGAGGTGTCTCGCTACCCTCCTGATGGGTGCTTTTGCACTACTGGGACCCTGGAGATCTGAGAATTAACCCCAAAGACGCAGTATGTGCAAGGAAAGCTCCCCCAGCTGCCACCCAGCTTGCTCCCTCCCTTAGCAAGCTCCCTCGTCTTGCCGCAGTCGCTGGGCACCCCCAGCTTCACCTTCACACGTGGGCGGAGGTCCTTCAAACTGGAGGTGAGTGCCTAGTTTGCAGGTCAGGATTTCACTTCCAATCAGGGTAAAGCCAGGAAGGCATCTGTACCTCACTATGTCACCTACAGACAGAAAGAGAAAACATCTTGACTTGAGAGAAGGATCAATTTATCAAGGCTGAACTGTGGCCTGGGAACAGGGTACCACGGGGCACAGAGAGCCCTCTGCCATTGAGCTCTGGCATGACCACGCAGAGATAAAAGGTGTGGAAAGGCATGCTGGAGTCTCAGCTAGGATAAACTGCTGTCATGCCGCTAAGACTTATGATTTGTGCAAGCTATTTCAGGTGGAGACTTCCCTCAGAGAGAAAAGCTGCTTTAAAAAAAAAAAACAAACAACCCACAACCCCAAAACACCCCACAGCTACTTCACTGGTTGCAGACACACTTAAAAATGTGGATGTAACTGAACAGCAGCAAAAAATACAAAAAACGCAGTCGATATGGCTGAAAGGTTCTCAAAAAAGAATAACGGCCTCTAAGCTTTCACACAATGCTTTGTTTGAAACACCTGAAAACTATTATTGTGGCAAAGATTTCTGAATGTGTCTGAACAAGCTCAGGGCTTTCACAGAAGCCAAACCACTTCTTCGGTACTAACAGAGGAAAAGCCTTGGGACAACTGGGTCAGTTTGACTCCGTGTGAATGCTGGGTGCTGCGCAAGGTCACGCGCGGCTCCCCAAGGCACACACAAACGCACGTGCGAAGGGGTCTCCTGAAGCTCCAGATACGGGGTGACAACACACGTGTGTCTTCCCGCAGGCATTCCCAGCACCTGGATGGGGGGGAAGGAGGGCTAAGAGGACTTGGAGAGAGCCTACCTATGTTAAATTCCTCATTCTCGGTGACAATTTCTGCGTTGGGAACGATGGTTGGAGGCTGACATCTGAAGAGCTGGTAGGCTGAAAGAGCAAAGGAAGAGCAGCAGATGTTAAGCTGGGGGTAAAGGCAGCCGCGGCCGTCTTGATGCTAAGCACAACAGACAGCAGAGCAAATCCTCGCGCTCCACAAGTAGAAGGAATTGGCAAAAGTGCAACCAGCCCTTTCCCCCTCCAAACCCTACAGAGATGGCTCCAGGTATCTGTGCCCCAAAGCAGCTTCCTCCACTTTCTTACACCTAATAGGAAACAGATTTCTGTCAGTCTGTGGAGATGCAGGTGCCTGGACAGTGTCAGTGCTTTTGGATGAAGACCGAAGGATGACTGACGGATGCGGACGCGAGGCAACATTACTGGCACCTTTTGGGATACTAAGGGAGAAGATCCTGGTGACCTCAGTGGTCACCAAGGTCCAACTGACCTCAGTGGAACCAGGTCAATCACAGAAGAGGGAGAGTCTCAGACTGCTCCAGCACCAAGTAAATTACAATAATTATTCAGAGAACTTCACCCTTACCGCCTGTCCTTGAACAGAGATTGCAAAACTCACTGATTTACTTTTACCTTGGAATTATTCATTAATTTCTTCTGCAAATAATTCCAGGAGTGCTAATGTTTTCAACTGCAAATCCTGTATGTAGCTTGCAGTTCACCAAGTAACCTACGCAAGGTTGATGACAGTGTCTCACGAAGGCCAAATAGGGCAGACCTTGTACTCTCTGCCCAATTACGTGTTTTTTCAGCGGTGCCATGTGGCTAAACGGGAAGAAGAAATCCAGCTGAGGAGCAGAAACAATTCCTTATGCCTCACGCACCTGACCAGATACATTGCAAATAGCAAATTTTCCACCAAAAATTAAAGATCAGCTAACACTGAGCAAAACAAATGCACTGCTTACAAGCATATGAGTGCATAAGGCTTGAGCACTGTGCTGCTTATGAAAATAAACACACAAGAGCCGTGAGCACGGTTCAGTTGAAAATACGGTACTGGGAACTAAATGAATATTAATGAAAGACATTTTCTGCTATTTGCTCAGCACTTCTCTGCATCTTTGCTCCCCCTGCACCTGACCCTGGACAAGCATAACTTCCTCTGAAATTTGTATCAGTCCTTTAATTTAAGACACTGAAGCTCAAGCTGCCACTGAATATTAATTCTTACTAACTCCATAATGTTGAACTCTTCGCACCACGGCAAGGCTGGCAGTCCTGGCAGCAACCTTAATGAGGCTTATGATGATGCTTAAATACACATGTAAAGAAGTAGACGCCCCATCATCTTACCCCCATTTCCTTACCCCCTAACCCGGCGTAGGATAATACTTTCCCAAACGGAGTGTAGAAAAATGTGACATTTGGAGGTCCCAGGAAGGGGCTGGAGGGAATGCAGCCACTTCTGGTTAACGTGAGGGACGGGCTTACGTATCCCACGTGTGCAAGGGGGAGGAAAAACCAAACACATGCTACTACAGTGAGCTAACCTCAGCCGGGGGTGAGGGGGTGTCAAAGTGCCAGCTCTGTAATTCGGACAGTCAGCCCCTTCTTTGCAATCCACCACGGGAGCAAGGAGAACGGATGAGCGAAGGAGCTGGGAGAGCCTGCACGTGGGACGGGAGAGGAGCAAGGGGTGGCTGGGAAGAAACCCTCCTGCTACACAGCAAAGAGCCATCCCAGGAGGGAACACACTTATTTGCAATCTTTTAAAGAGATGTTTGACAGTGGGGGAAGAAGGAAAGGAAACGGTAACAAAAATTTAAATTAAATGCTATTTAAAAAGTGCTTGACAGCATCTATTGAAGTGGAAAGATAACCCAGCATTTACAGCATTAATCTCCTCTCCTTAATGGCCCATATTTCAATAGAGAGGTGTGATTAAGATGGCTTCAGCATCTGGGTGATACAGCACTGGTAAAGCTCCTTTCAACAGCACATCCATTTGTTCTCACCAGGACAAAAACAGAGTCCCGTCCTTGAAACCACACTGGGACCCCCTTGAGTTACTGTGCCATAAAACCCTTTCCCATCACGCTCACACATCAGTTCGCGCTGGCACTTGAACTAACCCATTTAATAATAGGTGCAACATCATCATTTTTCAAGGGATGCTATTGAATCTTTAAGCTCTGTGAATCATTCTTTTGTTTCCCTTCCTCCACCCTAAGGAAGCATTTCTTTGCAGGCATTTAAAGGGGCAATGGTTCTCTGACACAGTCCTGATCATCGCTGTACAGGAAAAGACAATTTAAAGCCGAAGGAGGACGTCTCCTATGTCCTAGATCTGCCAGCATGCAGACGCAGAAATGAAAATATACATTGCTGTAGATCCCGAGGAAATTGCATTTCCTGCACCTACAGCCCAAAGGGCGATGCCAAAGATTTAACTGACTGCGCTGCCTGAGCCCAGAGTGAAAACTTCCCCCCCTTCTCCTGCACCTTCTGGGCGTGCAAGGCTCCACACGCAGAACGAGAGCTTGGGGAAGAGGGAAGAATCTCACCCTGGAGGCGACCACCTCGATCACTGACATCTCTGGGGTCAGGCTTTGTACTGAAGTCCCAGGTGTAAAGGGGGCAAGAAGCCAGTCAATGACACTTTAATAAAAGGCCAAGCAGTTGCCAGAGCGCCCAGCTGTTAACAGGCTGTAAATGCCTGCTGGCCCGCACTGGTGCTGCACCGGCACCGGTACCTCCCAGCACCAACCCCAGACCTCCCACGCCTGTGAGTGGCTTTACACCCCACGGAAACCATCAGCTAAAGAAACATCGGTGCAACGTGCTATCAAGATCAGAGAACAGCAACATATGCCGATGGGCTCTAACCATAGCAATGATAGTGTCTAATTCCTATTACAAAAGGAAGCATTCGCTGAACTGCAGCAGTGTTTACATACTGCTCATTTCTGAGCCAAACTGCCTAAACCATAATTTTTTGCATAACTGTTATATACGCACCATTGTCTAGGAATATAAATCTTACAGTGTTTTGCAGCAGTAAACCAATTCCCTCTGAAGCCTAGCAAACATTCTTTAAATTCAGCCTATCTGTATAATACTTGCCTTTCGGAACTGAACATAAGCTAAGACAATCTGCACAGATTCATCGTGTAATTCATGTAAGACTTTGTTGACGTTCTTGCCAGCAAATTTCCGAAGCAAGAGGAGGTCTCCGTTTGCACTTTCCAAAATCCCAGTACTGCCGTAGGAACTTGTTAGCTAATCCAATTTAAAGTTGGGCTCTCGTTTAGTGGTGGGAAACAAATGCTCTCATTTCAATGTAATACCCAATATCTCTCTAGCGTGAGCTGCACTCACACCAAAGAATCCCCAAGTAATTCAGGGATTTACAGGAACCCCTTTCCTCCCCAGAGAAACAAAGTCACCTCTCAGCTGAACACAGCTGCCATTTAAAACAGGCCACCAAGATGACCCAACCGGTTTAGCATAGCGTTGGAAAGACAACACTGCATCCAGCCAACGCCGCAGGGAAGGAGAGTTTTAGGTAAACAAAGTGGAGCTATCCATAATGGGATCTGCCATGGAGAGGATGATATTTACAGGCATCACCTTGAGAAAGGCGTAGGGTTGGCATGGCTGTTAGTCTGCAGGCACTTGATCTGTGCTTGAATTATCGCAACGTTACAGATGGATTTCCACATCTGCACAGACTGTGTGACCACTTGCCAGCACTCGATTGCTTGAGAGACCTTCAATCTCAAACCTGTGAAAACTGGCCCCTTTGTGAAAGATTTCAGGTAGGAGTGTATTTTCTCCACTTCTTCTCTTCCCCAGAACTAGTCCTCTGCACAACAAGCCCCAACCGATCCATGCCCCTCCGCATCCCGTAGGCAGGTATAAAGCATGCGCTGCTCAGTAAGCAATACAGACCGTAGAAATAAATGGCAAAAATCCCTCCGTTGGCGGCATCACTGTGGAATTTCATCAGGACCTGATTGGAAGAGCTTTGGGCTGATTTCTTAGCAGAGTTGCCAGTGAACACACCAAGCTGCGGGGCTGTTTGCTGTGGACCATCCCTAAAATCATGGCAGAAACACAAGAGCATTATTACATGTCTTTAATCCTAGGCAACAACCAACCTCCTACGCTGCATGCACAGGAACGCCGCCTTCCTGCTCTTCCCTCCTTCTCCGCCCTTTTCTACATCTATATATAGTCTCAGCAGCTCCCTGGGCAGCTGACCCGGACCCCCAGTCCCCCTCCCCGACCCACGAGAACCAGGACAATTTCCTCTGGCAGTGCAGTGCTCACCCAGTAGACAATTACAAACATGAACTTCATTTTTAGCCTCAGAACGTGAAGAATTAGGGCCACTTTTCCAAAGGAGTTTCACTCCCTGTCTGCACAGCAGACACTCAGCAATTTTGAAAGTCAGATATCGATTGAGTGCTACAAGCTCAAGAATTTGGCCACAAGCTCTTTAGCCAGCACAGCTACGTGCGCTCCCTTGGCTGACTGAAGTTGATAACATGCCATTTCTCTTCCCTTCTCCAAACAGGAAAGGAAGATCCCAGCCTGTAAGGCTCCTGGGGTGAAGAAATCAGTGCCGCTTCATTAGCCGCAGCAGAGTTGTGCCCATTTTACATCAGAGGTCACGGTTCCCACTTGCTGCTACTTAAAAGGCAGCTGGGGGCCACAGCCAGTTCTGGTGCCTAACACCATCCCAGCATTGCCTTCGTGGTCTGGGAGATCAGCTTGGATTGTAGGGCTGCGGATCTCCGATTGCAAGAGAAAAACCAAAAGAGGACATTGGTAAATGTAAATGATTTACCAACGGCTTTTTCTTCATTCAGCCTCTCTCCATAAACAGGTAGCCGCAGTTAAACCACACCCCACAGATAAAGTGCAAAAGGAAGAAAAAAAAAAAAGAGAGGAAAAAAAAAAAGCCCCAGAAAATGTCTGTCAGAAATCAGAAGCGAAAGGCAATTCCTATTATGCAAGTCCGAACAAGATTCATTTCAACTAAATTCAGCTTGAGATAAAGACCCCGTTTACCATTCATAAAGCCTCCTCTGTAAAGCCCCTTAGGCTTCCCAAGAGATGTTTCCTTATTCCATTCGGCAAAGCGTTTCGGATATGAAGGGACAGGCTGATGACAGCACCCAGCAGGACGAGCGGGGCTCTGCTGCCAAACGCCCTCCCGCCGCAGCTGGGACGCCGGTCTGCATCCCCCGGCAGCTCAGCCCCTGCTCGTGGTAATTGCAGCAAACCAGTGGGACAGTGACTGCTAATCCCAGGCACCGCAGGGGGCTGATGTGCTTCGTTTTTAACTGCTGATGATCACAGAAATTAATGACTAGGAAGACCTATAAGGTCTTACAGGCGCTGCTGTACGGCCAAGGGTGGGACTGCTCCTGTGAGCTGCACAACACCAAGGCAAAACCACCACGAAAGCGAAGGATTCCTTCGCAGACTCCCCTGCAGACCCAAAGGATGACATTTCCATCACTTGGCACGAGCAGCCTAGTCATTCAGTGATCATTCCCTTCTCTGACCTTGCACTCCCTGCCTACATTTTTCAGGAGCGTACCATTGACAGCGTTTGGCGACGGTCACCTTGTCCAATTTGCTAGCCCCTTGCAGCACGTGGCCCTCAATCTAAAGGCCCTATCAAGCACGTGGAGTTTAAAAAATTCCAAATCCTCATCCCAGCATCCCCAGAGGATACTCCTACTCTCAGACCTGCACCACCCACGCACCACAGCAGTAGGTGCTCTATTTAGCAGCAAGAGCACCTTTCTGAAATGGGGCCTTGGTAGCAACTCTAGTCAGTCCTCACGGCTTTGCTGTACCCACCAGACAGTGATGAAATCGTTGTAGGGCTCTGTTTGCAGCAGAGTGAAGTTGAGATGGATTCCATACCCCACCGGCACTGTGAGAAGCCAAGTGCAGTCCTGGGAATTGGGGTACTGGTTGGGGAAGCCAGGAGAGTAAACTGTACCATTTTGGGTGGTGATGTTCCCCCCACAAGGCACTGCAGGTAATCAAACAGAAACACAAAGTTAATTAAGAAATATCCCCCCAAACAATAACTCTTAAAGATCCTCTATTTCTCATTTTTCTTTCCTTTATTTTGGATAGAAAGAGAGCAATTCTGGAGGATCCAGCCCCAAAACCCTGCCCTAGCTTGCCTTGAATAATTCAGATCTGTCACAACTACATCTAACATTTTCAACTTAATTCCATTACAATAAATTTATTAAGTGCTTCAGAGCTGAAAGGAGACTGTCAGGGTGTTTTGTACAGATGTGACAGCCAGGTGTGCAAATAAACTCTATCTTATGCCCTAGTAAGAGTCTTTGGGCTCTACCAGCTGTCTGCACCCATGCATGGAAAATACAGCTCCTGATGGGATCACACCAGTGGGCAAATCTATCCACTTGTTCATACAGCACGGCCTGGACCAGAGCCACCGAGCAGCTGGCTTTTCACCGAGTACATCTGAGCAGGGGGGAAATGATGATTTGTACGACAGCAGCACCCAATTCATTAATCAAGACGACAGTTCTATTGCACTAGGTATCTTCCAGGTCCAAATGAACTTCCAAGCTACAGAGAGGCAATTAGAAACAGCCTAGGCAGGAAAAAAACAGGGAGAGGAAGATGACATCCTGCTGAAGGCAAGGCAGGAGGGCCACAGCAGGTCCCTTGGTCTGAAAGCCCCATGTACAAGCATCAGCTTCTGGACCTCTCGGGCACAGAAGCTGAACTGAAACGATGGTAACATCTGCAGCGTGTTACTGGCAACCTGCAACAACTGAGGGCACAAGGGTAAGTGCAGACAGTGTCACCTGCCCGAGCCAGCTCTTCTCTAGAAGCCACGTAGCTGTAGTAACCCAGTCCTTGGCTTAGGCTAACACATCCTCCCTCCCAACACCGCTCAGTAATTCAGGCTCAGTGCTGAACACTCACTCTTCTCCGTACAGTAGCAGCTCCACAGACTTCCACCACCCTGGCCCTGACTTGATGTTCCAGATGTGAGGTTAGAGCCAAGCTCCATGTACTCCCTGCCTGGTTCTGCTCTGCTTACCCAGTCTGTCAAGCTGAGAAAAGCACGTGCATTTATACAACTCCACACGCTCACTTTCTGAAACAAACACCCAAGGAACCTTGGGGGCCAAGTTCCTTTCTGCCCTGCAAAGCAGCAGGCAGCCTGCTGATCGCTGGAAAAACTCCCTGGAGCCGTGCTGGAAACCTCGGCTTCTGTGCATTTATTTTAGAATTACAGCTTCTCTTTTAATTAAAAGGGCTTTCAGCTGTGACCTGTGTGGGAAAGGTGAGGTGGTTCGCCTAAAGCAGCGAGTCCTCGGCTTGCTGCTATGCAAAACCGGACCATTTAGGGAAACAGCTAGAAAGGGAAAGTTCTGCATTGACTTTAGCAGCACTAACAGCCCACCAGATGTGCACACAGAGAAAAAAAGCAAATGGTCCAACACGTACCTAACCCCTCGCCCCTCTGTGCTATCAGAAGTGCTGCAGAACAAGAAAGCTACTTAAAAAACACAACAAAGAACTGGATGGCTGTAGCTGGCAGAGCTGATGCTGAGGTAGATAAGGGCATAATCCTGCCACCAGCAGCCCCCCACCCTACCAGCAGCCCCCCGCTGGGCACCAGACAGTTTCTCAGCTAACACACATCCCTTGCATTGCTGGGGTCAGTGAAGAGCAGCTGAGGATTTGGTTCTTTATGCTTTGTGTTCTCTGGGGTTCAAGGACTTAGGACTTAAAAGAGGAAAAAATATCACCTCTCCCTCTCTTTCCCCAGTGCACAGTTCTTGCAGACCAAGTGCTGTAAAGAGGCTGGGATAAAGGTCAGTGCTCCTGGGAAATGCGGTGGGAAATCTTCAATAAGCAGTCTTGAACTTCTTAAGGGTTCATATGAAAACCTTCTTCTAAAGTAAACCACACAAAACTCAGTCCATTGGCCCAAAGGATGAAAGGCTGAAACAACCCTACTGGGGTTTGAAAAGAGAATTTTGACATTTGAGCTTCGATGCCTAGAACACAGATCCACTCCTTCAGCCTGCAGGGTCCTGCTAGCATACAGGATCTTCAGAAAGGAGAAGGTTGCACGCAAGGTTTCTGAAGAACTCCCATCTGGATCATTTGGAGATGCCATCGTTGCCACACTAAGGTGACTTGGCAGGGACACAATCTTCCCACGCTAAGAGCCCCCAGAGCTGCAAGGGTCTTTTACCAGGACCTGTTTTTATCTATCAATGCTAAATCAACGGAAGCTGAACATTGTTGAAGAAATAAAGCTGACAAGAGTGATTATTACCATCACCCCGGACTGCTTCCTTCTGAAAGCGCAGATCCCACTGGCATCAGCAGCGCGACTGACAGCTGCAGACAGTCCTCAGCCATAGCATGAGATTCAAACACATCATCTCCAAAGATGCACCTTGGTTTTGAACTGTTCAAAATGTTCGCTTTGACTAGGCTGAAATATGTTGAACATCAACTCACTGAGAACATGCTTCAACACCTCAGGGGTTCAGGCTTTATTCAAAGTGCACAGCATGCACTTTGAATGCCTCCAGCGATGCTTTTGTTTCCAGAGAAACTTTCAGCCCAATTACAAAACAAGGATTCAAAAGGCGGCAAGAACAGAGAGCTGAAGCCTTTTCTCTCCCCACGTTCCGGGTGCATTCAGGGTGATGCCAAAGCCATACCTTCACACCTGGGCAACGGGTGGTCCCAGTTCCTGTTGGTGCCGTGCTGACAGGTCAGGACGGGGTGGCCGATCAGCTGGTAGCCAGGCAGGCACTCAAAAGAGATGGACTGGCCAACGTTGTAACCGGCTCCTCTTACGACACCATTAGCAAAAGGTTCTG